GTACGAAAACGTCACGGTCAAGGAATTTGACCTGACTTCTAAAGTCACCTCCATTAAAATGACTCAAAATCTTAGAGAAGAATAGACAAAGTTTCACTTATTTCCACTAGTGTAAAGATAAGCAATCAAGTCATAAATTTCGAGTTTTGTTACCAGTTAGATGTTCGAGTAAGAAAAATTTTTTTTTTTTTGACCTTGCTGAAATAAGAATAAAAAATTTTTTCTACTCATCACTTCAATAATTGAAATTCGATAAAATAAATAGAAAAATATAATACCCAAATTAAAATATTAATTAATTATTAACTAATTTGTAGTAATTATTAAAATTAATATTTCAAATTACTCATTACTCATAGTCCATTTTTCTCAAAGTGAATAAAATTTATTTGATTTAAATAATCGGTTACTTGACTATTATCAAATAAATATTTACTCGAACCAATATAAAATTTTATTTCAATTAGTATATTAATTTTCTTTTTCCTTTTATATTTCTTTTTATATTACTGTTACTATATTATAATAATGTATTGCTCGCTCATGTTCAAGGGTTGTAATAAATAAATAAACAAATAGGAAAAAAAAATTTTATCATTCTGTCACATAATGTTTAGAAGAATTGGGAAATAAAAGACAGAGATTGTAGTATGCGTATCTCACAACAATGCGTAACATTAGGCAACACACTGCACGTAATAGCTTATTCAAAAAAAAAAAAAAATTTATTTTTTTTTTTTAATCTATTTAAAAACTTTCAATTTTAGTGCATTCACTACTGTCATTCAAAAGAGGACAATCCCTTTAACTGATCCAAATCCCGTTTTTCTGGGTCACATGCTTGCGCATTAAAGTTGGCCAAAAACTCTCAAAATAGTTAATCAAAGAAAAAAAAATTTTCTCTTTTTTTGGCCGGTACTCACGTTCTTCCCTCGTGATGGCCATTTTCTCTGATCAGCGCACACGCACAAAGGCGTCAGCAGCCGAGGAATGTGTGATTATCGCGTTTCGAGAACGAAATCAAAAAGGTCACGGATTTAAGAAGAAAGAAAAAAAATTATATATGACAAAATCCCCCCTGAGAAAAAAGTAAACCGAGAAGGTCAAATGAAAATAAATAAAAAAAAAAAAAAATGAGAAGGTGACAAGGGCCCGTTAAAAGCACCGACAGAGAAACGCGTGCCACTTGATAGCAAAAGGGAACTGCTCGTCTGAAAGCACAAAATCCCAAGGAGTTCTCTGGCAACCTACCAACGAGAACCTGGCTGGGCGTTATATTTAGTTGTCCGAGCCACGAATTCACGTATGGATAGACATTTATACAATCGCACATCTCTTTGCCTCCTCTTTCTCTATTTCTCTCTCTCTCTCTTTCCCTTTTTTTTATCTTTGCGAACACCTTCGCGGTCAATCATTAGATCGCACACTACGAACTGTTATTTATGTGGAAAAAAGAAAAACATAACTGCACCGTTTACCGGACAGTTAGTGTTAACAAGGTGAATATCAATTAATTTTTACAAAATTACACGTATTTTAATAAAAAGTATAATATATATGTATGAAGAATATTTATATTAGATTTTAAAAAATATTAAGATAAGTCTATTGCTCCAATTATCGAACACAGATAATAAGGACGCATGATTATACATTCTTGTTGGAGATACAACGATATTTATAAATATTTAAGGTTTTAAGTAAAATTCAGGTAAAACCAGGTACTTGAGGTACCTGAGTGCAATTCCGGGTTGAAGATTTTTGTCAGTCGTGCTGTTATAGTACTGCGGATAGCATTAAACTTTGTACGGCTCACTTAAAGAATTCAGTAAAGAATCTACATTAAAGTCAATTCTATGCTTGTCAAATTAACATTATAATTGTTCAATAAAGTCTTAATTTATCTGTTACAATTTCTTATCTTTCATCTTATACGTGTTTTACTTCCAAATAACCTAACCAGTTTCAACAATTCTAAAAATCATTAGCTAGAATTTTCATTTTATGGAATTTCATTTGTCCTAATTATTTCTGAGCTGAATTTTTAATTGTTCGCATTAGTATTTTGCAAGAATTTTCATCAAAACGAATTTTCTATATTTCATAATTTTTATATAACCGAAAATTCACTTCACAGAATTTTTTTTTCTTCCAATTTTTATTTAACATGATAGGCATTTTAAAGAATTTTTATTAGATAGAATTTCATTACATAGAATTACATGGAAATTATATCAAATAATAATTCGAACAAATGAAAATTCATCTGAAAGAAAATTCTATGCAATGAAATTCTACCTAATAAAAATTCTTTAAAGTGCCTATTATGTTAAATGAAAACTAGAGCAAATAAAAATCTAAATTAGTAAAAATGTTTACTAATTTAAATTAGTGACTAACTTTTTGCTTTAGAATTAGTTAAATTTTACTAATAATTAGTACAATTTTACTAATTGAGAAGCAAAAAGTGAGTTACTAATTCAAATTAGTAAACTTTTTTACTAATTCAGATTTAGAGAGAACATAATCATGCATCCCGTATAATATAGATTCGAGGCGCATGAATATTCCCCAATTGACATTTAAACGAAACGCACATAACAGAATTGTCATTTATCTAACCTGACATATGTAACAGAACTGTCATTCGACCAATCGCAATTTTAATGATAACTTTCAATTAGTCAATTTTGAAATTTGCGCCAAAACAGTCGGTCAAATGATAATTCTGTTACATATCAGTTCGGTCAAATGACAATTCTGTTGCATATCAGTTCGGTTATGTGACATTTCTATCAGGTCAGGTTGGTTATGTCACACGTCACCGTAACACTTGCTAAACTTTCCTGCTGCATTTTTGTAACAAAGCTTTCTTTTTCTTCCCTTTGTTTTGTATAAAATCAATACTATAGTCGCGACATTAGTCTGACTTACTAACTAGTTCTGTATTAACCAAAAGTATATATTAAATAAGGCGGAAGAACATTTATGATCTCATATAGATTGTCCCCTTATTTGCTTTCACGCCATTGTAATAGATAATGTTTTTACGCTAACCCTAGAATTGTATCGAATCTAAATAATAAAACCTATAAGGTCAGTTTTTCTGTAATTGAATTGTTCTTTGTATATCAAACATGGGTTTTTCTCCGAATTCAGAAAATAAACGCACTCTAAGTTCGCTTTATCGTACATTGTTTCATTAAGAGAGTATATTCCTTTTTATTACAACAATTCTTGTGAATCTGAAAGGGAAGTCACCCTAATGCACAACAATTAGATGGTCACTTTTTAATTAAGAGTGATAATGCAACTTGCTTTTGAGTCAAGCCTTGAGCCTAACGTGAGCCTCGAGCCAAACTTAAGCCTTGAGCCATATATGAGCCTCGAGCCAAACTTAAGCCGTGAGCCTCGAGACAAACTCAAGTCTTGATTCAAACTTAAGCCTTAAGCCAAAGCCAAGCCATTAGCCTAAAACTTAGTTTTTTTTGTCACTTTTTAAGCTTTCAACATGGTGTAGCTCAGAAGGACTTGATTCTTGGAGGTTTTGACCTGAATATTTTTTGTTCAGGAGGTGATAATCTACAAAACTGCAATGTTTAAAAAAATTTGACCGAAAATTTTTTGCCCCTATAGCGTGTGCGGGGTCCTTTAATATATTGCATATTTACTTCATATACAACATATTAAATTTAATACAGATTTTTCTAACAGTGCGTGTGGTCATCACCTAGACCGATCAACATTCCTGTGAGCTCATAAGCGATATCTGATACCAGCCGTTCCTTCTCATATTTAAAGACATCGCAGTGGTCCTTTTTCATACATCTTAGTTTAAAATTTTAAAGGTTAGTCGTAATACTTTTTATCTAAATCCTTCCTAACTCCTTATAAAAATTTGTAGTAGGTAACCTTTACATTCCCTGTTGCAGTGAAATGCTGACTTTCTTAATTTTCAAGAATGCGGTTGCTTCAGGATACTCTCTCTCAAAGATCAATTTTATAACTCTAAATGTTTGTCTAAATAAACTTGTAACTTTGTCATTGAAAATTAATATTCTTTTCTTTTCCCTGTACACGGTGCTCTTCGATGAGGTTTAACCCAAAAGTTCCCCCCCATCCAATTTTTCTCTCAAATCTCATTCTAGTATCAAAACTGAATAATTTCAGCCAAAAATGAAAATCTTTTATAGAAGGAATAAAAAGAAAACTCAATTTTTCGTAATTTTTTGTAAGTTATTTGTTATAGCTAGATCCAAAAGCACCCCACAGTTAAAATTTCTTTTGGAAATTAACGTATGTGTACCTTAAGCAACATTAATGCAGTTAAGAGAGTTAATTTAATGTTAACTCACTCTTGGAGTTGATTTTTAACTCTAAAAATGTTACTCCTAACTCCGGTTGCCATTAAATTTTGGGGATTTAATGGCAATTGAAGTTGGAAGTAAAATTTTTGAAGTTAAAAATCAACTCCAAAAATGAGTTAACATTAAATTAATTCCCTAAGTATCAACTGCAAAAGGATGGGGAATTAAAATATAACTCATTTTTGGAGTTGTACAGGAAAAAACTAAATTTTTACAGATTTTCAAAAAATTCGACTAGGATCGAATTTATATTATGTATTTTATTCGAAGTTCTTTCTTGGCATGTTAATTTTTCCAAGAAATTTCTCTCTGTATACAATTTAACTTTGTATAAACGGCTAACCTATATATTATACATTATTTAAATAAAAAATATTAGCTTATTTATGTAAAAGATTAAAAGCAGATAAGATTGCACTACATATATACATATCTACAATTCTTACAAATATATACAAGCCATACTACTTTTTTTGCGAGGAAAATTATTATTGAAACCACAAGAAAAAAAAACTGTTCACGTATACTTTTTTTTAAAAAGTGAAAGATTTAAAGTATCAATAATATTTTTCCTATTCTATTGAAAAAATACAATAAGATAAATATTATATATATTTAAGTTTAGAATCATACCTTTTGGATTCAGTCTTTCTGGGTTAAACCATGCATCTGTAAACAATATAAGCAATTGTAGATTTAATATTTTACATTCCATCACCGCAAGATTAGAAAATAGAAAAGTATATAAAGAGATATTATATATAAAGTCAGATTAAAAAGGAGGTTAGCAGTAGCATCAATTTGATTTGATTCTAAAGCGCATATAGTTCAATTAATTTCACACTGAAAAAAAATTTATTTGATTCAAATACCGGTGTATTTGGTTATTATCAAATAAATATTTATTTGAATCAAATATTTCTTATTTGAATAAAATATATAGTATTTGAATCAAATATTTATTTGATAATAACCAAATACACCAGTATTTGAATCAAATAAATTTTTTTTTCAGTGCATTGATATACTAAATTATAGCAAATAATTTTCAAATATTTTAATACAAAAAAACTCTTCAAATTTTTCTGTTTTTTTTTTAAAGTTAGCTTTAATTTTTTATTAATGATAATTAATTATACATCCTTTAAGACAAGACTGTCACAGAAAAAAAATGATTTGATTTCAAATAATCGGTTATTTGAATATTAACGAATAAATAAATTTTCAGAATCTTTGAACATTTACAAAAAACCGTTTAGTATCCATAGATAAATATATTATTTCTAATATTAAAAAATTATTTGCCAACAATTTTAATTAATATAAAAATTTCAATTAATATTATTGATACATTTAATTATCTGACGCTATAAGAGAAACAAACGAATATGCTACATTTAACTACCCTTTTCTCATGTATATAAAATATTATTTAAATGCATTAGATATATATTCATTGTGCAATATTAAAAGATTTGTACAATATAACACACTGCGCAAAATTTTTTTTTTTTTTTGCATTAATCAAACATTTTCAGAATTAAAGCATTTATAGAAAATTTTAGTATGGTTTTTCACAGAGAGAAAAGAATAAATTATTAATAGAAAATTTTATATAATAAACTTTCAATTATTATTAGAAAAAAATTCAGATGCTTCTTATAGCTAATATTATATTACATTATAGTTTTAGTTCTTGTCATACCTTTCTTAAATTCCTTGTGTTCAAGAATTAAATTTTTTTAAATCTCAATAATTTCTATAAAGTGTAATATATTTTTTTATTATTACAGGTATTATTATTACTGTTATTATTGTATCATAAAATATATATATAAATAACTTATATGATATGTTAATCTAAATTCTTAAAAATAACTATTAATTTAAAAGTGTGTTATATAATATTATAATAAAAATATTCATCAACTTTTTGGATAATTTGAATACATATTTATTTACCTCTGTATTTTAAAGAAATTTGACAATAGAATTAAAAAACATTTTTTAAATCGACATTATGAAATGTCTCACGTGAGTGCCCATTTGGACATGTAATACGCGCACTTGACACACAATATATAGGTATATACAATATGTATACTATAATGGCCCTGAATAAAGTGAAGATTAAATCTCTCACTTCTACAACTGCTAACTTAATTTTTCCACACTGGTTTATAATAAATTTTTTTTAATTTTGTTCCTACAAAAATAATATATAGTAAAAAATTTATAAATATTATATAAAAAAATTATTTTATTCAAATAAATCGATTACTTGCACAGAAAATTAAAAGACATTAAAATAAGCTGCAACGCTTGTTATTTTAATCCAATTTTGCTTATTTTAATCCATTTTGGTATTAAAATAAGCAAAATTGGATTAAAATAATAAGCGTTGCAGCTTATTTTAATGCCTTTTAATTTTCTGTATATAAACTATTATCAAATAAATATTTATTTGTATTAAATAATTTTTATTTGACTCAATTAAATGGTATTTATTTTAAATACAGAAATTTTTGGTCCAAATACAATTTATTTAATTCAAATAAAAATTATTTTTGTTTAAGTAAATATGTATTTGATAATAGTCAGGTAACCAATTATTTGAATCAAATAAATTTTTTTACATTACTAAATATAATAGTAGTATAAATTATGATGATAATATAAAGAATTAACAAGCAAACGAAGAAGATGAAAAAGAAAAGTGACAAGTAATTATTGTAACCATTAAAACAAAGAAAAGGGTTTGTAGATAATTATGATTATATTCACATATAACGAGGGCACTGACCTCAACATTGTTGACAATTGTTACTTTTGTTTTTACACTATCAAAATAATAATAATAATAATTACCACAATTACTTATTATTAATTATCAATAATTGTATATTCGCATTGATGAATATTTTTTAAAAACTAATTTTCTTGAAAAAAAAATTTAATAATTAAATTTCTAGATTTAATTACAGAAAGTTTGTTAATAAGTAGTTATTTTTATAGGCGCACTAAATTTTACAACCACTTTAAGGGGGTGGATTGCAATGAGGTCAGTTACCTACCACAAGAACTAGAGACTATTTGATCGATACCATTACGATATCACAAAACATATAAGAACTTTTCAGAACGTTTAAATTTCTTTCTTAAATATAACAGTTAACAATAAAAAAATCTGTGGACAAAATTCTTTTTTAATTGAGCAAACAAAAATGACCGATTAAAAATTTTTAATGTAAAAAATTTTATAATTATTATTATTATTATTATATATTTTTAAAATGACCACATAATAATAATCCTGAAATTCTTTCCTTCGTCCCCTAAAGGTCTTTTGTAATGTCGCGGTATTGTTTTAAAACTGATTACAAAACTTCTAAATATAGATTGTAATTAGTTCAATCTATGAACAAAAAAGTGCTAAAACATAATTAAATTCTCATTGTCTGATAGATAAAAATTAAAAAAAAAAAAAATGACTAACATAAAATTTCGATTAAGAATAAATAAAACTGCATTGATAAAATAAAAATAGTTTTTCATTAACACAAGACTAAATTTTTTTTTTTTTTTTTTTGATAGCAAAAAAAAATTATCGATATTTTCATTCATTATAACAAAATCGTAATTTAATATTCATTTGATTATTATTGAATATTCTTAGAAGAGAATAATAGATAGTACAATATACGTGTGTAAAAAGAATAAATATAACAAGTTTCTAAAAAACTGATCTAAAAACTTATATATTATCTATAAAAGATAAGAAAAAGCATTTAGTCTGAAAATAGAAAATAAATTAATTGTGACTTTTAAGACATTAATTACCGTTATAGTATGACTTGAAAACGCAGATATAGAAATAATGACTCAATAGAATATGATAAGTAGAAATTCATCTACAATTTTGTAATTTCAATTTTTTTTTTATTATTCACTTCGTATATAGTAATGGAAAATAATTGTCCAATTCTCGTTTATTTAAAATGACAATAAAATTTTTGAATAGCAAATAGTTATATAATATTTCGAAAATAAAAATTATTCGTTATCAAAAATTTTCTATTGAATTTAATAAAAGCAAAATTTTGAGATGCATGAATAAATCCTAAAATTAATTTATTAGAATTTTTAATTGACAGAATTTTATTATACCCAAAAATTTACTTTTAGCCGAATTTTTATTTCTTCGAATAGTCAATAGTCAATGAAAAGAATTTTTATTTTATAGAATTTTATTAGAATTATGTAATTTTTAGATGAATTTTCATTTTTCGAATTAACATTTGACAAAATAACTTTTTATACGAATTTTCATGTGATTCGAATTTTTAAATGACAGAAATTTCAATTCACCGAATTTTAATTTGTATATACAAATTTTTAATTGATAGAATTTCTAAAACACCTAATTTTCATTTGTCCGAAATTACAAATGGCCGAATAATCAATCTACAGAAAGATTTCGGCGCGATTTTTAAAATCAACCAATCACAATTTTATATAATATAATTTTTGATTGTTTGATTTTGAAAATTGCGCCAAAATCTTTCTGTCGATTGTTTGTTCGGACATTTTCAATTTCGGACAAATGAAAATTCGACGTCTTAGAAATTCTATCAATTAAAAATTTTCTGTCATTTAAAAATTTGAATCACATAAAATTCGATTGAATGAGAATTTTGTTAAATTAAAATTCTCTTAAATTGAATTTTTTTTTTTAAATAAAAAGTCATGTAAAAAGAAATGACTGTAAAATAAAAATTTTAACAAAAATTCGATAGCTAAAAATTTTGTTATGTAAAAATTCGTATAGAAAGAAAATCCTTTAAATTTCAATTCAAAAATTAAAAATTCGTCTAATAAATAATTATTTCTAATAGAATACTTTATAAAATTTCTAATAAATGATTTTTATGGAAAATTTATGGCGCCTTTACGAATTTTGTATAATATAGAAAATTGGTTAATAGAAATTCTGTCAAAAAATGATTCGAATATAAATTCGGCTAAAAGAAAAAATTATATCCAATGGAAGTCTATCAAATAAAAATTCAAACAAATTAATTTTAATCATTATTCATGCGTTTAAAAATTTTTTATAATTTTCCAATTTAAAAAATAATTTGCTCTTGCTAATCATTGATAATAAACATTGTGGAGAAAAATTTGTAAGAACAAAACAGTAGGTGAAATCGAAGCAAAATATCAAAACAAAAACTAAAGACACATATTTGTAGGTACAAAATAAAATTTTAGAATATTAAAAGCTTTATTATCTCTTTATAGGCAATCTCTCTCTCTCTCTCTCTCATTTTGAATTAAAATCAGAGGAGGTATTCAGAGTAGTCAGTGAAAAGCTCCCTCATGAGAAAAATTCCATTCAAAACAAGCAATTCTGTCATCACCAATATTCTCCAGTCTCCCAGTTCTCTTGTGAACGAAGAGAGCTGATCACAAGTGAATAAGAGAGAAAGAGAAAAAGAGAGAGATAGAGCACCGAGAGTTATGATTCTGACAGCTAGGTGGTTGCCCGACCTCGGTCAATTCTGCGCGACATTTCTACCCTGAATTGACCCTATTAACCCATTACAATAAAAAAAAAAAAAAAGAGCGAGGAAGAAAGAAACAAATGCAAAAATTAAGATAAAAAAATC